CTCATATCTACTTTTTTCATTATCAACATAGTTTTTGCTAGTAGGCCAGCAAAGGCCTTATCAAAACGCACACAAGTGCAATAATTATAATTAAACGAATAAAAAAAAAACAGTAACGAACTAAAGAAAAAAAAAATCCCCTAACAAATAAAAATAGAGTATATAAAGTCGTTTTGAAATTCATCAATCCATTGTATAATTAATCTTGCCTCGTGAAATATCAAGTCGATGATTTTAAATTGTTATTTTAAAAACCGCTGATAACATCCAATTGATAAATCGTTGAAAGGATAGGAATTTCCTTTCCTAGAATTACAAAATTCCTGGCAGTGTGTCTTCCATTTCCCTCTCGTCTCGATAATTAAAGTTTGTTTAAAAAAAAAAACAAAAATGATAGAGAAAAAAAAAGCAATATACAAAGAACAAATAAATATTCTAAATGAATGTAGTAACAGGGGAGAAAAATGTTATGAATTTTCAATGGTGAGGGCTATATAATAATTATTTATAATCGAAGCGTTAGGATCAGCAGTTATGAATTATCATGAGATTACGAAAGTGCCGAACTTCAATCCTCAATAACTCGAAATCGGCAGAGTGAATTTCCTCGAATCAAACGGCATTTTGAAGATCATATCAGTCTTTGATTAATGATGTTTAAAAAATAAAAGTGACACTCGTACAGAGAGTGATTGACGATTGAATATAATCAGCTAAACAATCCAACCCTGAGAGCGCAGCGGTAACAGGATCACGATTGTTATTACATCAGTTACAAATAGCAAATAATTATGACAGTTTGCTGACGAGATTCACCTCTCAATGCCAGAATTACACATTTCACTGGTACAGAGTTAACGATATCGATACACACGTTAAGTTGCAATAAATTCAATGAAATTACCAGTTAATTTTTTCACTGAATTTTTCTATTACATCAGTTAATCACCAAATAATATATAAATTGCACAAGTCAACACACGATTCACTCTTTTACGATACTTTTACTCTTTTCCCAGTGAAGTTGTGAAATTTAACGAGTGGAATACGACGATTTTGTATTTATTTATGATTTTCCCCTCGATTTCACCCCTTCACCCTTAAAACCCTACACTCGACGTAAAAAACATTAGCAAAGGCTGAGGGATAATCCGACAAACTCGTGATACATGAAAAATGATTTTATTAATGACGCCATTGTTTAATAAAAAAAAAACACATAATAGGCATTAGGGAATATTTAAATATTGCGTTTACGTATAATGTATTGATTTTTTCTTAATGCATTCGCACATACGCATTTACACAGGGCTCTCTTACACAGTGGATAATCACAATAGTTTCCTTCTTTTTTTTTTATTAATTTTAATGAAAAATAATGACGATTTACTGACGATTAATCGGTGAGTAGGGGTGATAAAATCATAATTAATCTCTTGAGATATTATTGCTTACGATTTTGACGGGCAACCGTTGATGATGAATGACGATTTCCAATAGTTGTTTGATTAATTTGTCGATTGACTTGGTGCGTTGAACGTTTGCCTAGCTGAGCTTCCTTGGGGTCAAACCCCTCACTATGTCGCTTCCAAAACAAAAGATACATAAACGGCCACATTAGGCGTTTTATTGCACTTTATTTTTCTATTTTGTCTCTCTAATTTTTCCAACTCTGGATGATGCGTCCTCTCTACCGTGGCACAGCAACCAATTATGTTCAATTTCTTTTATTCATTCCAATTTTCATCATTCATTGATCAATCAATTGAATTATTTTTATTATGTTCTGTTATGTCTGTTCTGTTCTGTTTTGTTTATCTGTTTTGTTGTATCATTTCTCAATTATCCTTTAATTCTATTCAATCAATTGATTTTACCCCTAGTCTTATCCACTATTCCATTTATTTTATTCATTTATTTATTTTGTTTGTTTATTTTATTCATAGCAGTGTCAGTTTACCTGAAAATCAACGCACAAACAGAAATATTCAAGTGATTTTATTGTTCAATTATTGTTTTTATGTCTCACGACACGTCCCTGCATGCAGCAAACTTTTAATTATGGATGTAATATTGTGGTTTTAGAATTTATTCTCTGTTGGATCATTGTGTTTGGAATAATTGGGTTGTAATCTATTTATTTTTTTATTATTGTTTGAGGACAGATATTTAATACCGCACCATGCCACGGTATAGTGACACCATATCCCAGTGTGAAGTTATGGTTTTATGATTATAATGAATGTTTAGGGCGATTTGTGAAGTTTTATCAAACACCAATGTACCACGAAAACCCATCACCAGTGTTGTTTTTAGGATGTACGTGGAGAGAATTGTTAATGCAAATTTTATTAATCATTTATCCAACAAATTGGCAAATTCTAGAATTTTATATAATAAATATATAATTGTGGGATTTATCTTCAAAAAATATGATGTATGGAATGTAAGTAGATTCAAGTACCGGAAGCAATTGTTTAACTTGAAAACATTCATTTAATTGAATTTTTTTATTTAATAATCAGTGGAGCGTTGAAATGAAGCCCCTCGTTATTCAAGTGAGTTTTTTTATGAATAACTCCAGCACCGAGGGAGATACCGAGATTTTGCTCATGACCTTTTTTACAGCTCTCGGCCAGCTCCGTGGAAAAGATCCCCATAAAAATCTCGCTATCTCCCTTAGATACCGAGATATTAATTGATAACTGAGGAATACTTAAAA